TATTTAGTGGACCTTTTTCTAACAAACAAGATTAAAAGCCTCTTACTTTATAAAACCTTGAGCTTTAGTTACAGAGTCTCACCATAAAAGATTATACACAGTGATGATAGTCTTATTCCTCAGCCAATAAGCTAGGGTCTACAGTACTGCCAATAACTCTGAGATCTTTCAGCAGTCTATAGTGGAGTTGGTAACCTGCACTTTACAGACCCCAGGTAAAAACAAGAAGGCAAATTGGGCAGATAGTGGTTATGTATACAGAAGCAGTGCCCTCTGATACTTTCCCCACCACCCCCATTGTAAAAATTCATAGTTATACTGTTTGCGCATGGTTTGATGAGCATCTTACCTTGGGTCCACTGGGCACAGGTCAACTCCTCTATGAGAACTGGAAGCTCTCCTGAGTTATAGCCTTTGTGCAGGGTCAGCTCATTGGTTGACAATATAAGCGATAACTGATCGCTCTCAGCCAATGAGCTAGCCATGCCTCCCAACTCCAGTGGCCCAAGAAGTGTAATGTGGGGGGAAGGGGTAAAGGGGGCAAGCCAGTGATGCACTTGCATCACTGTATCCGTACCAATGGAGACAGACCCGTCCTCAAAGGAGGCGGGTACTCCCAATTACTGGCAGGTCAACCTGGCGTGAATGCACAACTGGCTACCTATCCTAATGGGCTATATTTCCCATTATGCAAAGTAGATATCTACCTACTAGCACCAGTCATGTAGGGGGCATATATTTACAACACTTATGTGAATTTTTGGAACTCAGGTGGGCTGATTTGGAGATAAATACCAGGAGCCCTTGTCAAGTGTCCTCTGTGGTCTAGTGAGCCTGCTATGCTTGATAAGAGAGCTGGAGGAATAGTTATAGAGGGTGTAAAACACAGTGCTGTCTCAGCTCCTTCAGTGTCACTGTGTGAGGCTGGACTGGAAGGGATCATTTCCCATCTGCCCACTAACAGCCTCTCACACAGGAAATGCCTAGCAGAAGAAGTAGGGACAGCACTGAGTGATGTACAATGTATAACCGCTCCTGCAGTTCTACTCTCAATGATAGGAAGTTGAGTATTTTGCAAATAACCCTTCAAACTCCACATACCCGTACCCTAACAAACTCTTTCATTAGTCCCAAATTTAGGCACTCTCTTCCTAAACATGAAACAAAGCCCTTTACCTCAATCATCAGGTTTAACTCCTGTTTACAATGAACCACACAATTGAACCTAAAAAGTATATTTAACCCCACACTAAACCCAATAATTCTAAGCGTCTCTTATACCTAAACATCAATGGGTTTAGTGTGGGGTTAAATATACTTTTGAGGTACATCCCTTATCCCTCTCAAGTTTTTAATTCTCTTAACACCCTATGTAACTAACTTTGACATTAACCTCTTGTAACGGCTACCCTGGTGTAGAGAAAGTACCAGCCGTTAGGGACATCCTTTTCTTCCTGGCAGTCGCTGTGTAGTGATGGAGTCGCCTATTCCCTTCTGCTGGATCAGGAGTGGAAACCAGGTGCAGCTCTGAAAAGAGCTAAGTGATTAAGCTGCAGAGATTCCCCTTTCAAGAACGAGACAAGGCTACGTTTTGAAGGGTCAAGAAGAACTGTCAAAACCTTTATTCCCTTGGGACCAGCCAATACAGTCACCACAATAACATTGTTGTGAAACCTCAATAAAAATCACAAACAGTCAAACCATATCAAGAAACACACAGTGACTTATCACAACACAATGGCACATTTTTAAAGGGGTGGGGGGAGACAATATTTAACAGTAAATATCTCACCTGCCTGCAGAATTAGCAATATGCAAATCTACCCGAATATGCAAATGAACCAGTCTTGCAATTCAGGTAGTGCATATTGCTGTTGCTACCAACAGAGGGCACTAGACAAGCTCCATAGCCAAACCCACCTAGTTGGTAGCAAACCTCAGCAATACAAGAGAGCAGGCAATACATTACACAGTACACACACACACACTATAAACAATTACATTACACACACCCTGCACCTATAATGGGTACAGGGTGACTAAAACATAGGATAAATAAAGCAGCCCACATAAATAGTCTGTCTGAAGGTAGACTAGGGGCTTTAAAGCCAGATAGATGAAAGAGTCATAGTCACAGGAGAGGAGACTGGCAAGAAGGCCTCTCCAGGACCAAGTGGCGAAGGACACTTCGTCACAGGCTGTATAATCCATTTGTCCTTTTGTAGGCATACTGGGCTTGTTGTTACATGGCTCCCCTTTTGTGGGACACACCGTGGGGCTGTCCGGATTTCGGTTATGGCATCAGTTCGGTTTGTCTGGACAGGCCATCCGCGTTCCCGTTGAGTTTACTTGGCCGATATTGTATGGAAAAATTATACGGTTGTAACGCCAGGCTCCATCTTAACAAACGACCATTATCTCCGGCCACACAGTTCAACCATACGAGAGGGTTATGGTCAGTGATGAGGGTGAACTCCTGACCATACAAATATGGAGTCAATTTCTTTAGGGCCCAAACCAGGGCTAAACATTCTTTTTCCACTGCCGCGTAGCTCACTTCCCTGGGTAGTAGTTTTCTGCTTAGATACGCGACAGGGTGTTCTCCTCCATCCTCTCCGACCTGGCTTAAAACTGCCCCCAGTCCGTACATGGTGGCATCTGTGTGGACGACAAACCTTTTGTTAGGGACTGGGGCAGATAGCACAGGAGCGTTGATTAATGCGTTCTTTAATGTCTGAAATGCTGTTTCGCAGGCGGGAGACCACAGGACTATCCTAGGTAGATTCTTTTTGGTCAAATCTGTTAAAGGTTTGGCGATACTACTATAGTCGGGGACAAATTTCCTGTAGTACCCTGCCGTCCCTAGAAAAGCCAGTACCTGGGTCTTGGTGTGGGGTGTGGGCCAATTAGCCACGGCCTCAACTTTGGCTGGCTCCGGCCGTTGCTTCCCACATCCCACCCGGTGTCCCAGGTACTGTACTTCGGCCATGCCAAAATGACATTTTTCTGGCTTCAGAGTGAGCCCTGCGGCCCTAATCTGATCCAGTACGGCCCCTACCTGTCGGAGGTGTTCTCCCCAGGTCTCGCTGTAGATCGCAATGTCATCCAGGTACGCACATGCCAAATCCTGGAATCCATCAAGGAGCCTGTCGACCAAGCGCTGAAAGGTAGCGGGAGTGTTCTTCATCCCGAATGGCATGACTTTGAATTGGTACAAGCCAAACGGGGTGACGAAGGCCGACTTGGGGACAGCCTCCTTGGCTAGGGGAATCTGCCAGTATCCCTTGCACAAATCAATGGTGGTCAGATATCTTCCCCTAGCAATGCGATCTAGGAGCTCGTCTACGCGTGGCATGGGGTACGCGTCTGTCACTGTCCTATCATTGAGACGTCTATAGTCGATGCAGAACCTTGTGGTCCCATCCTTTTTGGGTACCAGTACTACGGGTGAGGCCCACGGGCTGTCTGAGGGTTCTATGACTCCTAACTTGAGCATCTCCTGTATCTCTTTCCTCATCTCTTCCTTAACTGCCTCTGGGATCCTGTAAGGGGTCTGCCTAAGTGGCGTCTGCCCTGGGGTTTCCACATAATGGGTAGCTAACGTCGTGTACCATGGTTCTTGGGAGAATGTCAGTTTCTTCTCTGTCAACAGCTGTCTGAGCTGTCCCTTTTCTGCTGGGTTCAATCGCTCCCCTAGATGGATAGTGTCAAGGATATGACTTGGTTCGGGACCTGCTAACAAGTCAGGGATAGGCAGCCCGTCTGAGTCCTCTGCACTGGGACTGCAGATGGCTGCAATATC